GAAGTTGTTGCCCTTTGTTTATTTCTAGTACTTGAATCTTGTCCGGAGATCTAGTTTTCTATCGATTTCTTCGAAACTTGGTAGGCTTCATAATCATGATATCAAGTTGTGTTAATATAATGAGTTGGAGACTAATCTTTTGATTTCTTGTTTTCCTCAAACTCTCAAAAATTAAAGAAAATCGGAAGTTGACTTTGTAGTGAAAGGTGAGATTTATAGAATGCTATATATAGCTAGCTAGCCACTCTTAAGGTGATGCAAATCTTATTTTAATGCAAGTTAATATATAACACTATATGACATTCGACTGGCGTATATTATTCCGCCCTACGCTACTCTTGTTAGTTCACCTGGTCCGAAGGTAAATTTTGTCCTTTTCTTTTTCTTTGCCTTTATAGCAGCATTATACCAGACAAATTTTGCAAAAGGAAATGTCCTTGACCTTTATTCAAGGTCAAAGGGGTCAAATTTGTTAAAACACTCAAAAGATTTCTTCAATGTCATGTTGAATAGCTTTTTTACCCGTGTTTAAACAGAGTTATTGCCCTCTACACTTCATTCCATCTGTGACACCCCTTCAGGTGTCGCCCCACTAGTATGGATTGGCCCAACCACTAACCCTTTCACAAGTAACATTTTAAGTTAATACTATTTATTAATACCAATATATGGTTAATCACTTCATATCTTACAAGTAACATTTTAAGTTAATACTATTTATTAATACCAATATATGGTTAATCACTTCATATCTTATATCATTCAATTACCAGCATGATTTTATTGATTTTACCCTATGGCACAAGTATGTAATGTGTTAAGCCTCATACTATATCTGGTATATGGCATAGAGGAGAGCGTGTGCCGATGATGGCTCCCGTTTGAGATCAGACAGCTCTACGACACGAAAAGCGAAAAAGCCGAAAAAGTCGGATTGCCGATTAAGTCCAGATTGCATCCAGATCTTGCCGAATGCGTCGGTTCACTGTCCTGTCACTGTCTGATCTCTGTCGGATCGCGTTCGGGAGAATCGGGACGCTGTCGGGACAGATTCGGTCGGTTTTTACCATGCGGAAGATACAAATTGGATCAGATTCGGATTAAGGACGGGAGAATCGGGACGAATTCGTCTGGAAACGGCTGAATCGGGACGCTTCCTGAACAATATCTGATTGTTGTCGTGATTAAATAAATAATTTCACAAATTTTTGAATTTTCCGCCACGAATCGCAGTATCTTGATCAGACTTTTGACAAATTTTAATCGGGAGTGCCCGGTCCTATCAAGGACGGCAGTAAAAATCCTGAATTTGTGACTGAGGCTTTAGGTCCGATCGCCTGCTCTCCAGAATGCCATGGTATCAGATACGAGACAATATAGGTACATGCATTCTTTTGTAACATTTATATTTATTTTTTACAAAAGATTGTGTCTTAGAGTCTTATCAAATTATCAATATCGATCATATAATTATTTACATTGTAACTATTGTGCCAATATAATTGATTTATTTAGATCTAAGAGACCCCATAAGAATCGTCCCAGGTAAAGGCCAATACAAGATACAAGATCCAATCCAGTTTTTTTAATAATCTGACCTATTACAGGTTCTATGGCATTAATAACCTATAAAAAACCCATCTGTGATAATATATATTTATGTCCTATTTGCAAAAATATTTGTAATATCAAAGTCAACAGCAGCTCTGCAACCAGTGATTGACCCTCAATTGTTTATTTAAATTAATTTGCTATAAGTTTTAAGTATTTTGGGTTGAAGAAAAGAGACAGACTAAAATTGTAATAATTGATGCAATTAAAAGTACTACAAAATCCACCTTCATTTACTTTTAAAAAACCCCACAGGTATATGTCAAGTTTTCTTATTCTTGTCATAGTGGGAACATTTCATATATTTATTCAAATTCACGTCTGACTCAATGTAGGTACAGAGACCTACATATTTATATACGTCTCTGGTAGGTACAATAACACGTTGTCACCAGTCACGCTACGGTCTATATATGATGTAACGTTACTAACGTGTGTACCACCACGGCGCTTAGAATCGGATCAAATCCACTCCTTATGATAACTGTGCGATAAATATGAATAATTAAGTTTGGATAACTTTGGGTCGTATATTCCCGAAAGAAAGGATATCTACCCCAAGCGGCAAAATCAAAGTGGACTCGTCCGCAGAAACTCGATACCCCAAGTATAGACCATGGAGTTTTCCAGAATGCCCCACTTCCGTTGAGGGATCGAGTTTCTCTGCACGTACACAAGTTGTACGCACGTCGTCCATTTACACGTGGACAGAATCGTTCAGGAAGTTTCCGACAGTTGATGAGCTGTGTTCATGTAATTTCTGCGACCCTATAGTACGCCTGACACTGGGGCAGTAGACCGTGACATACACACGTGTGTACCTGTTGTTGTTTACTGTGAGTGGTGATCGGTTGTGTGTATCGAGTTTGTGCTGCTGAGCCAGAAGTAAGATGACGGCGTTTGCGTTTTGGTGTGCTTGCGTGGCAATGATGACGTTGGTCCAAGGGGAGATGTTCACCTCCCTGGCGGCCATGCAGTCTGCCCTCTGGGCGGAGAGGGAAATCGCCGCTACCATTAATGATTACGTTCAGGAAGAGGAGACACGACTGGCCAAACTAAAACAGTAAGTACAATGTGAACGAATCCACCTCCCCCTCCGGCCCCCATGAACGACTCCTACACTCTCTAGGTTGTTTGTAACTGTCTGTACTTTCTTGGCTCCTCTAATATTACAATGTATGTACACTTTATTTGTTGGTCTACCAAATGTTATTTTTACTCATTATTTATACTGTTAGATAGCTATAGTCTATCCCTCCGGAACCACCTGCTCACTCGTTCGATTCAAAGAGACTTAAAACAATTGTCGCGAAATTAACCAAACATTAAAATCCCTTTGTGATGACCACTGAAGAAATCACACAAACCATTGATTTTTCATGTGGCAGTGACCCACAGGCACAATACCAGTGACCCACAGCCACAATACCAGTGACCCACAACCACAATACCAGTATTAAATTATACACATTATCAGAGACATATTTTTTTTTTTTTTCTCTGACCATTAGAACTTTTCAGTGATATCATATTTAACTCTGAGCTGATTTCCCATTTATTGTCCTAATTGTAATCTCCTGTACAGGTAGTCTACTGACAGTAGTGTACTATCCTAGTCAATATCTGCTGGTCAAGATATATAGTTATCGAAGGGGTTTTATAGCCTGGGGTTGACTGGGTAGTCTTTGCCCATATTCATGAAACCGTTCTCACACTGAATTTTGAAGAGACTTCATGCCGAATACCATTTAAAATGTTTCCACTTGACATGGACACATCATGCTTTAAACAAGTTACCAGGAAGTTGGGTATAGTTATACCAACTTCTATATTAATCTCTACTGCTGGCTGGATGTTGGAGCGTAGGGGGTCTTAATGTGGGAGGATACCAGAGTACCCGAAGAAAACCCGGGAAGGTGACCTCATACTATTTCACGTCCTATAAGGGAATTTAACCGAGGCCGTCTTTGTGAGTCGATTGTGCTCTACCCCCTGGGCTATCCGGCACTGACCACCACCCTTGAGCATGAATATGGTCGCAGTTTATCATGCGTAAACATGTTTTTTGTCATCAGAAATGTTACAGAATCTGTCTTTTTATTAGTGTTAAAGTCACCTGGCGACTTCCCCCACGTCGACAGAACACTGACCTCTGCAAGGAGACGAAACCTGCATGGGTGGATTCATGTCATTTTGATATTTTTCACTCATACTGTGCACTTGTGAAAAATATCAAAATATTCGCCACATTCGTGAAATATATTTGTTATTACTGAAGACACCATTAAATATCCTCTATATATACTTATTTAAATAAAACAACAGGATTAAATACAAACGTGTATACTTATTAAAATAAAACAGAACAGCATTAAATACAAAAGTGTATATTTATTAAAATAGAATAACAGCATTAGATACAAACATGTATATTTATTAAAATTAAACAGAGCATCATTAATGATAATAAAAGTTTCTGTTTCTCCATAGAAACATATTAAAAAACACAACATGTTACTCCTATCTTCTTCCTGGTAAAATTTAATGTTCCTTGAAAATGAAAGAATTTAATCTTCAGGAAACACTTAATTTTAGATACATAATGTTGAGGTCATTGGAGTGTATCGATAAACGGAAACAGGGAGTACATCCCTAGTTGAAAATCCAATGTAGGGAGACAGTATCACAATTTCCGCAAATTCTAATGTTTAATATTAAACTGATGAATATTGTATGTTTATTATTGACAGAACCGTCTGTTCTCTCAATATTAAAGTATTTCAAAGCAATCCAGGCATTACTTCAGGGTTTTTTATTATCAATGAGTCACATGTGTCCATTTTTCTGTACTTCAGGAAACCGGCTACCTATTTCACTACTGTGAAGTTTTTCAAGAACGATAACTCTTACCTGCAATTACTATGTGTATATGGTTTTATTATAAAATGTCAATTTTTATATCGTGTATAGAGAATTAATTTTACACAATTTCAGCATTTATTAAATTGATATACATTAATGCAATACTAATATATGTCAGTATCATTTTTATTGACATTATTTTGTAAAAATATTGTGTCTTTCATATTTTTTTTCAAAATTCACTCCTTTCTACATAAATGTCCATTTAAAATCCTTAAAATTCTGACAACCTATATTTTTTTTGCAGCAGAAAATTTTCTTTACTTTAAAGCAATATAACTACAAAATTTGAAGAAATTCTACTGAGAAATGGCGACACAATCCTATTACCTTAAGTGTCAATTCAGTCAACAGACTTAGATGACTTCTTAAGTAAAAAGTGACATAAGGAGAGAATGTAAACATGTAATTTGTCACCAGGGGCATGTAGCTCTACAGGGCGACTAATGGTTACAGCCCTGCAAACCAACCAGTGATTCATATAAAGCATGTATATATAGATAATACGTATGGTGTATACATATATATGTATATTCACGTATGGTGTATATATAGACAATACGTATGGTGTATATATATACAATACATATGGTGTATATATAGATGATATTCACGTATGGTGTACATCACGTATGGTGTATATATATAGACAATATCTGGTGTATATATATACGATATTCAAGTATGGTGTATATATAGACAATAAATATGGTTTATATATAGACGATATTCACGAATGATGTATATATATAGACGATATTAACGCATGGTGTATATATTGATGATATTCACATATGGTGTATATATAGACAATATGTATGGTGTATATATTTACATTATTCACGTATGGTGTATATATAGACGATATTCACGTATAGTGTATATATAGACAATACATATGGTGTATATATAGACGATATTCACGAATGGTGTATATATAGACGATATTCACGAATGGTGTATATATAGACGATATTCACGTACGGTGTATATATATACAATACATATGGTGTATATATAGATGATATTCACGTATGGTATATATATAGACGATATTCACGTATGGTGTATACATAGACGATATTCCCGTATGGTGTACATCACGTATGGTGTATATATATAGACAATATGTATGGTGTAAATACACACGATATTCACGAATGGTGTATATATAGACGATATTCACGAATGGTGTATATATAGACGATATTCACGAATGGTGTATATATAGACGATATTCACGAATGGTGTATATATAGACGATATTCACGAATGGTGTATATATAGACGATATTCACGAATGGTGTATATATAGACGATATTCACGAATGGTGTATATATAGACGATATTCACGTATAGTGTATATATAGACAATACATATGGTGTATATATAGATGATATTCACGTATGGTATATATATAGACGATATTCACGTATGGTGTATACATAGACGATATTCCCGTATGGTGTACATCACGTATGGTGTATATATATAGACAATATCTGGTGTATATATATACGATATTCAAGTATGGTGTATATATAGACAATAAATATGGTTTATATATAGACGATATTCACGAATGATGTATATATAGACGATATTAACGCATGGTGTATATATAGATGATATTCACATATGGTGTATATATAGACAATATGTATGGTGTATATATAGACGTTATTCATGTATGGTGTATATATATAGACAATACGTATATATAAAGCATGTATATATAGATAATACGTATTGTGTATACATATATATGTATATTCACGTATGGTGTATATATAGATAATACGTATGGTGTATACATAGACGATATTCACGTATGGTGTATATGTAGACGATATTCACGTATGGTGTATATATATACAATACATATGGTGTATATATAGATGATATTCACGTATGGTATATATATAGACGATATTCACGTATGGTGTATACATAGACGATATTCACGTATATATATAGATAATACGTATGGTGTATACATAGACGATATTCACGTATGGTGTATATATAGACAATACGTATGGTGTATACATAGATGATATTCACGAATGGTGTATATATAGACGATATTCACGTATGGTGTATATATATAGACAATACGTATGGTGTATACATAGACGATATTCACGTATGGTGTATATCACGTATGGTGTATATATATAGACAATATGTATGGTGTATATATTTACATTATTCACGTATGGTGTATATATATATATATAGACAATACGTATGGTGTATATATAGACGTTATTCATGTATGGTGTATATATATAGACAATACGTATGGTGTATATATAGACAATATTCACGTATGGTGTATACATAGATGATATTCATGTATGGTGTATATATAGACAATATTCACGTATGGTGTATAAAAAGATGATATTCACATATGGTGTATATATAGACGATATTCATGTATGGTGTATATATAGACGATATTCACGTATGGTGTATATATAGACGATATTCACGTATGGTGTCTATACACTATCTTTTGTTCAAGGGTATACTTTCTGTGTCCCCATATTAATAGGACAGCAGCTCAAGGAGGTCAAGGATGATGAAGGCTGGCCAGTATGTATCTGGCGTTGAGTGCTATAAAGTTCACTAAATAAATGACCTTGACCTCCTTCTAAGGTCAAAGGGGTCAAATATTTGAACAACTTCTGCATATTTTCCAATGATTGCTCTAATATCCAGGTCAGCGATATCGGCCCTCTGGGCCTCTTGTAGAAATCAGAAATTATGTCTCCTCTTCGAATGAAGGATCTACGCATCATACTAGTTAAGTCCTAACAGTTACTGGTGTAAGATGTCCTAACACCATAGGTTATTGGTGTCAGAAGTCCTAACGCCATAAGTTATTGGTGTCAAATGTACTAACGCCACAGGTTATTGGTGTCAGAAGTCCTAACATCATAGGTTATTGGTGTCAAATGTACTAACGCCACAGGTTATTGGTGTCAGAAGTCCTAACATCATAGGTTATTGGTGTCAAAAGTCCTAACACCATAGGTTATTGGTGTCAAAAGTCCCAATACCATAGGTTATTGGTGTCAAAAGTCCTGACACCATAGGTTATTGGTGTCAAAAGTCCTAACACCATAGGTTA